AATCTCGTTGAGATAATTATGAAAAAAACGACCTCATAATTTAATCAACGTAAGATAATTGGAGATCTAGTCTTGTAATTGACACCTAATCTGAGAAATAGCCTTGTGATCGCGTTGACTTTACAAAACACCCCGTAACTACAAAAAAAAAAATGACTTTTGGTCCTTCCACTGACAAAAACCGGTTCATGTCACCGGTTGCTGACATGGATATAGTTTTTCATTTTTTTTCTTTACATGTGGCAGCCGACGAACATATCCATCTCAGCAGCCAATTAAATTGATCGGCTGTTGTCGTTGGAAGGATTTTTTTTTTTTTTTTTTNNNNTTTTACTTAAAGGTTGTTTTGTAAAATCAACGGAATCATCGGACAATTTCAAATTGGTGTCAATTACACGACTAAGGGTGCGTTTGTATATAAAATATTTCAATCCATATTCAATTAATACTCAAAATCTAATTCAACGTTAACACAACTCCATTATCATTAATATCATTAATATAATTAAATAATATCAACCAATCATTCTTACAAATCACATCAATTTTAATACTATTCATCCTTTAACATAATTTTAACTAACTATCACTTCACACCATTTATCTCTTATTTTTACATCAAATCAACTTTATTTGTTTTATTTTAAATATTATTTTAGTATAAAATCAAAATCCCACTAATAACTAATCATACAATTTTTTTTTTTAAAAAAAAATTAAACCTTATTTTGAGCGGGTTTATTTGTATATAAACGAATCCTAAATCTTCAAATTTTCCCACCAAAGTACAATACAATCAATCACACAAAGTACACACTTACTTTCAGACAAGGACACCAATTCTTCCTCTGGCACATGAACTCTGTTAAAAACTCGTCCTGTTTTCTTCTCCCACAAAGCAATCAGCTCGAGCTGTGTAACAATGTTGCACGTCGGCCTGTAGATCACGACTCGATTGCACATTCTTGGGTCAGTTGCCACTTTAATCGTTAAAATGCCGATGTCCTCTTCATAGTTCATCACGGCTAGCATTTAACCCAAAAAAAGAAAAACGGCAACAAAGATTAATTCCATCGAACGAAAAAAAAAAAAAATGCTATTAGACGTTTAAAATGTACGAATACGAGGTTTTTTACGCATTATACCCTTAGCTTCACCGGTGCCATAAACAGTGATTTCTTGTTTCTGCTCGGTAGGGTGAAGCAAATAGTTGACAAAGTAAGAAGCGAAGCAATTTGCCGAGACGAAAGTGTAAGGGATATTAGCGGCTTCAATGGCTCGTCGGATTTTCCTCTTCTTCTCGAGCACGGCTTGGAATGGCGGCAATGCAGCCACTCGATCTTCTTCCACACCGAAATCCGATGGCAAAAACCTCTGAGGATAAGATTAATTAACCTCATCAATCTTTACAAACTATTTAAAGAAAAAAAAAAGGATATAAATAACAAACACAAAAAAGAATTATTTAAATATTTTACCTTAATATTACCAGCAACTTTGATGGCCTCTATGATTTTGTGCTGCTCCAGAACTTGAGGGATTGCTAAAACAGATATCACAATATCAACTTCCTTAAGGATTGAGACAAGCTTGTCATGATCCTCCATTTCTCCCTAATGAATTAATTAAAAAACAAACAAACGAACAAACAAACAATTCAGTTAACGTGAATTTTGAAAACGTGTAAGCATTTTTTGGAATATATAAACGATTAACACAAACCCGGTAAACCCGAAAACATTCACTAGTATCATATGTTAAAATTGAAAACGCAAATTCTTGTATAAGACAGTCTAACGAGTATGAAAAAAAAAATCGATACTTTGACAATAATGGCTCCTATGGAGTGAAACTCATCAATAGTATCAATCTTGTTGGAATTAGGTCTTGTAAAGACATAAGTTGGATGCCCTAATTTGATGCTTGCCCTCACAATATGGCTCCCAATGTAACCTGTCCCTCCAAATATTAGAATTTTGCTCTCCATTTCTATTTTTTTATTTTTAGCTCCTTTTTCTTACTTGGTTATATCAAGAATTGTCCCACATTTATAGAGTTCATTCTTCAACTTTTTTTCACTTTTTTTTGTGCTTTTTTCATAATTGGCTAACTAATTAGAAAATATGTGAATGTGACAGGTCCCAGCACCCACAAATTGACTAGACAAACATTACATTCCAAATTGCCAACTCCGTCTAGAATATCAGGTTAACCAATTAGAAAGATGGAACTATTAAACCGTTAACTAGCCGGTCGTGAATTCGGTTCATTAAAGCTCAAGGTCCAAAGCAGTTCTGGGCAGAAGCAGTCAACACGGCAACTTACTTGATCAACTAAAGTCCATCGGTACCGTTAGATCACAAGTTACCAGAAGAGGTAGATTGTTGGCTGTTAAAGGCTCAAGTTCGAGCTCGAGTACTATGAGCTCGATTACTGACTAATTAAGATTCATTAAGGCTGTACTATTTTCACCGTTTGATAATAAACATCAATACTGATACATGTGCGTGTATTCTCTAGTAATGAAAAATTGTAGTCACCAACATCATAGAATCGAATGCTTTGTCTAGTGTGCTATTTGGTGATGGTAAATTAAACGAGTTTGGTTCGGCTCGGGCTAGAGCCCTTAACGAAACAGGTATGAGTTTATTTAAAGCTCGTTTGGTTAACGAGTCGAGTTCATCTCGGCTCGGTCAGACCCAAAAAGAGAACTTTCATATAGTTTTCTATAGTTCGACTCGTTAAGCTCGAGATCGATACATTAAGGCTCGAAGTCGGCTCTTCAATAGTGATATACAAGCCGGGCTCGAGCTCGATTTCTAGGTCGTTAAGTGCTCAAGTTCGAGCTCAAGCACCCTAAGCTCGAGCTCGGCTAGAATGGCCAAGTGATAGATTAGAAAAGAGAGTTGGTAAATTATGCACAAAATTGAAGAAAATGATAGATTTGAGCTCATGCATTATTATTTCAGAATTGTACTATATGGAGGTGCATTAATTGAGAAGTGTATTTTATAAGTGCATGAATATGAGATATTTTTTGAACTGTATCTATCTGTCAGGTTACAAGTACAAACTAGCTACATAAACATGGGGACCTCACTAACTAACAGCACTTTATATAATTTGGACGTTTGTCATCAATCTAGGACAAAAATGTACTGTTCAAAAACTATAAAATATATTGTGAATTAAATTGATAATTTTTTTTGTGATTATAGAAAAAAATGTCAATTAATTAATTAAATAAATAAATTGCAGGTATTTTGCCGAATCACATGAGTAACTACTAACTAGGCATATTCTGGAAATAAATAAATATATAGCGAGTATATTCTATATATGTTTTGGAATGTTTTTCTTGATTTCTTACTTAGTTAACAATATTTTATGCAGTCGTAAAATTTATGGGATAATCAATTCACCGACTATTTATCCAAATTTAAGAACATATATTTTGCAATTTTGTACATAAAATTAAATAAATCATTTTAGACATTAAATTGATGTGTTTCTGATCATGGAACCATGCATGTGAAGAATGCAAAACTTTTGACTTTTCGATTATTTTACGTGTTCGAGGCTTTCAGCATATAATAATCAGGAAATCCACGTTTTTTTTATTATTATTTTTGTTCTTTGAAATGAATTGTCATTGTCACAACTCAAAATTACTGTAAAAGACAATGTGATATAACATTTTATATTATTATTATTATTATTATTATTATTATTATTATTATTATTATTATTATACACTATATCTATATTATGAAATTCTTATATATATAACATTGTGAATTGTCATTACAACCAAATAACTTAAAATTTTCATTCTAGTCATGTACAATTTATGATACATTTAATCAAATTCATCCTACTGAAAACCAGAATAACCTGTGCAAAAAATTAATTATTTGACTTGGAGGTGGGGTTTTATTCGAGAAGCAAAAAATAATTTGACTCTGTAGATTTTTTTTGTTGAAAAATAAGATAACAATGACGGACCCAAAAATTTGTATAAGAGGTCAAATTTATAATAATAGATAAAGTATTTGCCGTTTAAATTGTATCATCTATTCTTAATTGTAAAAGGGTTAAATGAACTCGAACTCCAACTTTTAATAGTAACTAGCCGAACTCTAACTTTTATCGAGCTGATGAACGAACTCGAGCTCGACACATTTGGTAATATTGTCAAGTCGAGCTCGAGCTTTAAGATGATGAGTCTAGTGATAACCCTGTTCATCAAAAGGATGAGCAAAATCAAACTCACAATTTTAGGCCACACAATCACACATCACAAGCATGCAATTTGCTTTTGGTAAAGGGGTAACATTTCTTTTTTTCTAAACATGAAAACCCCCATGAAAACTACTTTTTTCCTGTTCTTTTATCAACTCAAACTATCATCTGATGTTGATGTTGGCTGTGGGCTCCTATAAAACGACACGATTGCACGTTTAAGGATCGGTTGCCACTTTTATCGTCAAGCAGTGACAAACGATCAGATAAAAAGACTTTAAAGGCTAAGGAAATAGCAAATTATAGTAATGAATCTTTACTGAGATGTCTTTTGCGCAAAATCGATAAGTTATAAACTTTGAAAATCGCTCTCTGAACGTTTTTTTAGTTTGTGATTGTGAAGTGCGATTTTCAAAAGCGAGTCAATGATGTGTTGTTTGAGGCTTGTGATCCAAACTGCCCAATATCAGCTTCTACTACTGCACGTAGAAGCTAATATAACTGCAAATTCGAGTTGATCAGCTGTCATGAATTTATGCAACAGACTGAACAGCAGAATTGACATAATCACTTCTGAAATAAAACATTTTTTTTGCAATTCACAGCATTTCTAGTAAGTATATAATCAGATTTCGAGCTTCTTTTTGTTCAATATCAGAGTACAAGAACATTGATTATTGATAGAAAGGAAAAAGGATAAATGCATCAAGTCACAACATGTAAACCGGGTATCGAGCAACTTAGTCACCATACAATGAGAAGTGTCTACACTCAATATTCAACGAAAAGAACCAGAAACTAGATTACTAAATTCGGGACAAATGGAACAAAACAATTTTCTTTCGTTTTATTAAATTGAAATGCTATTACATAATGAAAAGTTGAAACTCACACGATTATAACTCCAAACACGCAATGATATCCTGAAATCCGAAATTCTACTCATCTTATCACTGGTTGAAACAATCGGAATGTAAGAAATTATGTCGACATATATCCAATAAGATGAACCTATCATCCCCAACCCCCTTTTCGTTTTTACACTTCCCTTCCCTGCAATACATATTTTGAAACAAGAATCTCTCAATGCCTCTCATTCTTTCAAGTTTCAATTTCTAAAGGGATCTTCGAATTACTGCAGTTGAAACTAAAACTGTTCATTTCCTTATGATACGCAGCTTAGCATGAAGGAGCGCAAACAAATATTCTCATAAACACAAAGATCGCCAGTCGACTTCAAAACGAAACTTCTAAAATAAACAGCAGTCATGGAAAAACTGAAATATCCAAAATATTTTTCCAGTAAGATGCAACATATCAATAGCTCTGAAAAACCTCAAATCACCAAAAATATCAAAATCCGTGATATAGCATTTTCCGAATATCTTGAAAGATTGTAATTACAGCACTACAAACTTATCTTCATTCTATTCAATTTCATCATACATACCTATATTATATCAACCAAATGCACTAATGGAAGCAAACAAACAGAGCAATATCAAATAAGGGCAAAAAATATAAATAAAAAATCAATCACCACCTCCATGATGTTGTTTATCTTCAGCACAATCAACATCTTTTCCACCATGACCGTGACCGTGATCGCAATCTCCCTCATCAGCATCAGAGTCGTCCTCGTCGAACGGCTTCTCCTTGTGAAAGATGCAGCATTTCTTCGAGCTCTTCTTGTTCATGAACTCGTTGTCCACGGTGCCTTCCTTCCACGAGACCTTCTTCTTTGGGAGCCTCAATTTCAGCACCAGGGAATCCGTGATCTGCGCCTGCTGCTGGCTGGACGGCGCCGTCTCGAGGGTGACGGTGGTGGTTGCGGTAGCCGCGACCGGCGCGGTGGAGGGGGAAGCGGTCGATTGTCTGCCGGAGGTGGTGGGTCTCGCCATCGTCTGGATTAGGGCTCAGGTTTTGATTTTGTGAAATTTGGGGGAAAATTAGCTGTGTCGTTTATAGGCGTGTGCTTGTGCGTTTTGGTGGAACAGTTGGCCATAATGGTGCTGTTTTATACTTTCCCATATAATGAAATGCCATTTTTGGTATTAATATTTTAAGAAGAATAGTAGATAGCTAATAGTAGTTGATTGAATTAATGGGAAATGCTAAAGTCCCGGAATCATTTCGCCGGAATTTGTAACCGTTTATCATGTAATCGTCATAAATAATTTATCTTTATAAATCTCGACGGAATTGTTCCGTAACGGGACCGTAGCATCTTCCTTAATTTAATTATATAAAGAATAGATAATTGAATTAAAAGATTTAACAGTTGATTAGGTAAAATATTTGATAAATAATTTGATGTTTGATATATATTAAAAGACAAATATCAATTTATCTATTATAAAAACTACTTATAAGTTTTAATATTTTTTTGAATTAACTTTTTGAGTCTACAAAGTTAAATTACTACTTACAAGTCATAAATTAGAGGTTTTAACAATATCTAATTCACCCTCAAATTTCTAATTTGATCACAAAACATAATTTACCAAATAAGATCACTATCAAAACTCCATTCATATTTCTAGATTTTAAAATTAATAAAAGATTAATTAGCTATATTTAAAATATCCTTGAGTATTATAAAATACTAAAATAGAGTGCATGGCAAAATTATTTTCTATTTCATCAAGAAATACCCCGCTTCGCAATTGTGTATAATTATAGAGCTATTAAACGAAAAAATTCGCACGATCAACTCAACTCATAAGTTGAGAGCTCGTTTAGTTAACAGACTCGTTAAAACTTGAAAAAAAAAAAACGACACTTTTTATATAATTTTTTTTTTGTAAATGTACTAAATGAAGGCAATGTTTTTTTTAATTATTATTATTATTTAAACGTATACTTAACACTGAGTGCGCTTATCGGTGGTACGAACTTAAATGTGAACTGAAAAATGCGGAAGCAATAAACCGAAGATTTTAAAACTCTTCAGGGAAGCGTCCCACTTCCCCTCAGAGCTCTTTCATTGATAGATCAAACATATACATAGCTTGGACTTACAACGACTCGAACTCCCTTTAAGTCTAGCCAACACTACACATATCCTATCAACTAATTCTCCGGCCACGTCCCGTGGACTTTTATAAACTACACTTACTCCCTAAGTGTATAAGCTGTAAAGAAGTTTTTGGATGAAACACAAAGAACTAAATAAGACAGCTTCAGTCCTTGAGTTAGTTCGAACTCTCAGACTGAACTGTGTACAACTCAACTTAAACAGAAATACGAAGCTCAAATATTGCTCTAAAGATCTTCAAAACTCAGCAGCCGCAATGAGAGCTTGCATACGGGTATTTAAAGTAATCTCCTTAGGGTTGGAGTCTTCTACAAGGCATAGGACTCCAACCTTGATTTCCTTCCTTGATTATAGCATAAGGATTTTGGTAAGTGAATCTTCTTCTCTCTCTCCTTGATCTCTTTAGCATACACGCCTCTCCCTTCCTTATCTCATCCGATTTCCTACAAAATAAAGTACCATAATAAGATCCATAATATCTTATATATGGAATATAAAATAATCTTAATTAAGGAAACAATTAAGCAAAGATCTTCCCTGTTTCTGTAGTTCCAGGTGCTTGTTCGAACCTTCGAACTAATGCCATAATAAATATCTTTCAATCCCCCCCTTTGGCATCTAGTTCGAAAACATCAAACATAAAATATCTCCTGAAAAATTAAAAACAACAAGCACAGAAGAACCAGCCACTAAACAATCATAAAGAGTTAGAGCAAATAACCATGTGACTGTGTTCATACACAGTTCTCCCCCTCAGTTCCTGCAATTCAACGAACCTCAAAAATTCGAGAAAAAAGCAATTAAGAACAAATCATCATTCATCCATTAAAAGCACAAACCTCCATCACGCAAAATAGAAGCAAGTAGCAAATATCACACAGGCAAAAGAAATACGAGGTTCTTATACAAAAAGACCTCCCTACAACCCTCAAAACACTCAAACGAAAAACATCTACTCCCCAGCAGTGAACTTATCGATAGCATCATCAGTTGAATCCCCATCAGAGTCAGAATCATCACCAGCACCCTTGGTAGCAGCAGCAGCAGACTTGGTAGCAGACTTCTCCCCCTTTTTCGAACTACGGGATGCCGAAGGGCCCGTCCCCGAGTTCTTGCGCAGGTTGCCTTTAACTGCCTGAAGAACTTGGCGCAGATATGCCTGTTGAGCAGCAACTTTCTTGGCCATCTCGTCCCATTCAGAGAGTTGTTGAACCACAAATTCCTCCCACTTAGTAGGAACGACAGAAGGTGTCAAGTCTTGCTTGGGAGCCGACTTTTCACTCAAGGTGCGAGGACTCACAATCAGATCCTTACCAGGAGGATTGAGAGAGTCATTGTAGCGAGGGTTCAACGAAAAATTGTGAGCAGCGAGGTATGACCAGATTAAACAAGGATAAGGTAAAGAACGACGAGACTCAATATTGCCAATGAAAGGCTCATGAATCTCAAACACAACCTCCCCAAAATTAAAGGGCTGACCCACCATCACCCAATAGATAACCTTGCTTTGCAATTCAGTGAGTAAAGTTTTGTTGGACGTGGGGTCCAATTCCCTGCATCCACTTTATGGAGAAGATTAGCAACAAGGCACAAAGAATTAACAGGAAGGTTTGACCCAGGCCAGGTATCAAGCTGATTGGCAGTAAGAACCTGGGTCACAACATCAAGATCAACATCCGGCAAAGAGGGAATATCAGAGGGAACACCCAAATGAGCATTGATTAAGGCAGGAGAAAAATCGATAATACGGTTACGCAAGAAGAGTTTATGAAAGCGAGGGCTAGAAGGTTCAAAGACAGCAGGGGTAAGGTTGGCAAAAAATTCACAAACAGCCTGGTCACAGAAGGAACTCAAGTCCACAACAGTTTTAGACAACCCAACAGAATCAATCAAAGGGAGAACACCAAGTTCAACAAATTTCGCATCCTTAAGAGGATGTTCACTCCAAAACCCATAAGATTTAAAACGCTCAAACCTGTCATGAGAGGCCTCGGTGTAGAATCTGTTAGTGAAGGCATTTTCGAGATCATAGGCATCATCCTCAGGCTCCGGTGGTACAAGACTTTCATCAATCGGCTCTTTGCCTCTGCGCCTAGTGGAACGACGCACCGGAACTCTAGGTGGCGGAGTGGGCTGGTCGGAGTGGACTTCAACAGTAGTTGCAGCAGTGTCGTCCCTTTCGGCTTCAGCGGTTCTGGTAGTGGACTTGGATCCAGTCTTCGTTGCAGATTTGCTCGCAGATGTTGGAACAACAGACGACTCCCTCTGAGTTGGAGCCGCTGGAGCCTCAACAAATCCTGATAGGCCAGGTACGCCGGTGGCAAGAGGTGAGATCTCAAGATTTTTCTCGGCATTGTCGGAGTTGGTTGGAGAACCAGACGAGGTTGCAGATAAGGAAACAGACTTCTCAGGTGGTGGCGACTCGAGGGATGGAGATTTCACCGGCGGAGGAGAGGGTTCACGGACAGAACTTGCAGAGAGAGAGAGACGACGCCGCTTCAGCCGCTTCTCCTTGTGTTTCTTAAGACGCTTCTTCGAATTGTCCTTGCTACCAGCCATGGGAGAAGGAACGGCGATTGAGTTTTTGAAAAGTAGGGTTTCAGTTTGAAAAGAAGAAAGAAAGAAGAAGATAAGTTCAGACGAAAAAGGTATGATTGAAATTTGGAGAAACGTGAGAGATATAAAGAGTTCTGACATAGATAACTGCAAAAGGTGGTTTTCCGACATTCAAGGTGAGGAGAGAGAAAGAGACGTTGCAACTTGGGGCGGTTTATGGCAAGAAACTGATCCCTCCAAATCCAAATTCAAACACAATACAACCTCTCACACAAATAACTTCTCACATTATTTCGATTTTTAGGAAAGAAATCAGATTTCATACTTGATCACAAATTCTTCACAAAATTTTAGACTCAAATAGATTATGTTCAAAAAGGAAATCATATGCAAGTATGCCTAAAATATGAGAAATAAAAATAAGGTAACAAAATCGCACACAAAGTTCACCAGATTCTAAAAATCTTTTCTTTCTCAACTTAGACAAAATCGATGAAAATAGCCCAAGACCAACTTTGATATTCAGATTTCCCAAGGAACACACGATAAGCGGATATATGTATATACACAAGGTAGTGCGAACCACAACAAGAACACATGTCTTATTATTCATAGTGCGTTTCACTTAGTAACAATCACTGCAATAGTGAATGTCAACCCCACTACTTTGCACCACGATTTTAAGCAAAGATCCTCCATATTATTATTTTTTTTTATATATAAATCAGCACTACGTTTTTTATGAGGATGGCCACCTTATCGCTCCAAGTAAGAACATCACATAGTAATATGCAATGCGTGTCACTAGCTTACGCCCTTTCTCAACATTTTCTGTCTCAGACGCTCTTTTCACAGTCGATCCCACATTGGGGAAACGAACCATGTGCTAGCTATCGCTCTAGATCATTTATGAGAAGGCAGCTCTTCGTGACAAAAGAAAAAAAATACAGAAAATAAGTATGTTCCTCGGTACCATAAGAATACGCAGTCAGTCTTAAACCATCAACACTTCTCAAGTTTTCAGAAGAGTTGGAACTTCAATCAAGAATCCAGTGGTGAGGAGAATGCAAAATGCACGATATGCCTAA